TCTCTCTCTCTCTCTCTCTCTCTCTCTCTATTATCAATCATTTTGCGGTTTTTGATTTCAAACTTATCTAACGCTTCGAGACTTTAGATTTTTATATAAGACATAAATTCACTGTTTTATTGTCTGTACGTCTGTAACAGCAATGACTTTAAGGCCTTAAACCTCGGAGTGAAACACAAATAATAGTAAAAAAAATTATGACATATTTCTCGGTTACGCCAAATATTTTCTTATATTTAATACGTTTTGACGATTATTTTTATTATTCTTGTATTGTTTGCTGAGATTTATGTGGATATATGTTTGTCTTGTGGTTAAATATTTTTTCTACCCTGTTTCTTTTAGGTTTCCCATCAATTTATACCATTTATTAGTCGACTTTAAAGTCTTTAAACATAACTTCAAGATATTTATTGTGGTAAGTGTTTGCTATTATTATTACTTTTATATCCATGTCCACTATTAGTTACAAACTTTTAATGTTCAAATACTGTATATTGCTGAAATATTGTCTTATAAGTTAGTAAATATAAATATAGTTTTGATTAGTTGTCTGTTTTTTTGGTTTTTAAAGTAATTTATAAAATAGTAAGTTATTTGCGAAATAATTAGGAAATTGTTGGCATTGCTTTAAAATAGTATTCATAAGTTTTTTTAAATATAATTTTTTTTCCAGTCAACTGACTTTGAAAAACTAAAAATAAAAATGAAATGCTAATTTTGAAATAGTCAGTGAAACTTATTTTTTACTTTTAATGAAGTAGATTTACAAAAATGTGTCAACAACAATTTTCTGACATTTTTGTTCATTTAACACTAATTAACATTTATGACTTTATACTACATTTTATTATGCTACCATGCTAATTGCCACGGATTATAAGATTAAACAAATGACAAAATAACATTCACTACTGTTTACAATTTTTATAATCCGTTATTACAGTGCCATTGGCTCGCAATGTCATCCGTTTGGTAAATATAAATTTTTCACATATTTTTGACATTATATTTATGATCATAATAATTATCATTAAAAATAAGTTGCCGGGCCCAATTGTAAACCCTCTATATATATCCCATACAGTTATAACCCATTCATATACTGCTATTACAACGCCTCGTACAGAGCTATGGTTAGGGAGTCACTCGAATGCATTCTCCCGTGCCTTAAGTACTATAAGGTTCAGTCGGCTCCGGGAGGTGAGGGCAGTCCGGACGACGCGGGCGAGGATACCATACGGGACTGCACTAAGTATACCGTCTGTCACACCGAGCGGATCGAAATGTTAGACAAGAATCGGATTAATATTAAATAGGATTTTATATATACAACAATATTCTTACTTATATTCGCAGGTAATAAAAGGGGACCGGGAGGTAAATGGTGGGGAGATTTATACTATATATATGGAGATATTAAGCAGTTTTTTATTTGTATACACTTGTCGTAAATCCGAGTGATTTGTCAACCGTATGGGAGTTATTGTCCCAAAAACCACCATGTTACACATGACAAAGTTATTAATCAGCACAAAAAAGTTTGTTTTATTTTGTATTCAGTTTTATCCAGAATTTTGCAATTATTTGTTTTAATTGTTTTTTATTGTGAAATCCATTTCCCATTATTTTTAGGGCGGAGTCGTGGGAATTAGGGGCTCTATTCCCTCACTCCCTCCCCCTCCCTATCAACGAATGTTGTAATTTAATATGTTTTTTGTATTAAAGCCTATTTATCCCTTAATACTTTGTATGATAATAAGTTTTTTTTGTAAATAAGTTTTAAATTTAAAAATATCACATTTTGTGCGCTTTTTGTATAACAAAAATCAAATTAAGAAATTAATTAACGCAACAAAAACTTTAATTAAATATATATTTTGTATATAAAAAACAAATTATTAATATTATAATGCGATACAGATTATGAAAATCAATTTAATATATTAAAATGTATTTTATTTTTTATTACAAAATAACAACACCATGTTAAATACACCGTACTGTATGCCATATAATCTCAATGTTATGTTAAAATAAAAATATAATTATGTTTTTATTCAACACCACATATTTCGTAACCAAACCCGTAATCCCGGTGTGGAAACTACTGGTACACTGGACTTGACTTTTATGAACGGTTAGGCTTTTGGTATTGAAAATATATTCTGTAATAATAGTAATGGATATGAAAAGTAGAGAATATTCTGTGCACATAACGAGCGCACCCTATATATAACATAACTGTTTAAAAGTATAGTAATAACTATATATCTTGTAGACCAAAATGAGAAGGACCTCTGAAAAGTTGCTTTTATTTCTTATTGAAACATTGCTTTTCTGTAAAGTTTGAAATTTACTTATATTAAAC